CACATTCCCGTTTGCCTATTACGGAATTAGCCTATATCCTTGATGATTGTTTCATTGCGTGTACTTACCACCACTTCATAGTCTTATACTTAACCTCGGCACCCTCCTCATCTCCAAAGGCATCCTGATACTGTGGCCTCTCCTCCAGAATCTTCTTCTCATTATATCCCGACTCCGAGTCAGTCGGGTCCTGGTAGGGTGTCACTCCATCTGGAATCATGATGTCGACGCGTATAGAGCCAAAACTGGAATATAGAAAAGACAGAAAGGAAGAGAGAGCCCAGCCACTTGTATATGTGCAAAGGGAAAAAAATTCTCGACTAGAGGTGGATCTTTCCTCAACGTTGACTGAGACAACCCCGGCTTCACTTGTATGGAGAGTTGGAGGGCAGAATTCTGGAGCCCGGATCTTCTGGAAGGTGGGGATGTACCGGGCTGAAGTTCTGAACGGTGAATGAATTCTATTTCCTATTTCCTATTTCTACCATATTTGGTTAATATTGAGGCTCACTGAGACGAAAAAAGAGAAAAGCTTTGGTGCCAAGTTGCGATCATATAAATTAAGCGTAGGGGGACCCGCTTCTGAACAGATGAGTGGAGTCATCATGACCCGCTTTCCTGGAAACGGGCCAATTACAGACTCGGCTCGGAATTCTATTATCTAAGAAGAACGCCGGACTGCGCTGCTGGCCGATGGTAGCCGCTTCCAAGCTTATCCCGGGCCAATCCCGAGTAAATGGCTTCGAGCTGTTACTAAATGCCAAGACGTGCAGCCGTATAATCGTGGTTACTCTATGCACGTTATGTCGATTATTGTGAAGATGGATGAAGAGCATCGTACGTTGTAGACCGTACCTGAGAGAAGGCAAATCTTAGGGCTCAGTAGCCAGAAGAATGCCAGTATACAAAGAGCAACTGTGGGGAAGTGAAGCTCTTTCGCCACCAGAAAAATCAATCTCAGTCAAGCCTTGCCAAGCTCGCGTAGGCAATAATTCGGTTATTTCGTAAAGCCGCATATCCGAAGGATATTCCAGGCCATTGGGGCAGATGCTGCTATTTGTTTGGACCAAATAGACCCATTTATTATAAATAATAACTCAATGCCTTCCTAATCGGGACCATCTATTATAGACCACTTACCGAAATGGACAATGGAGTCCGTACCTATGTATTGTGTATATTGTACTTCGTACCTCCCTCCACATTCTGGTCCCTGCATCTCCAGACTTACCCCAGGTTGCAAGCAATTCAAACGTAAGTGAAAGTTCAAACGCGTGAATAATGATTATCCGCACTCAGGCTAGTCGTAAAAAGTACTCCATTCGCAGTTATCGTGGGGTCCGTTTTGTAATTTAGTTAATGAGAGTACATATTGCTGCTCCACAAACTCCTCCTTACGGAGTATCTATCCACCGAATATGAATTCATGAACCAAGGGCCGGAATTATCCGTGAATATATTGACTAGTTGTCCACACCCGCGGAATAGCCGTACCCCACTAGTGTAGCGAAGGTGGTCTTAACGTCGAGATTCCATGGGGCCGACAACGTAGGCGTGTACAACATACTGTTCCGTAGGGAATGTCATTAAGTTGCTAGAATTGACCTATCTATGGTGGCCACGTGTGTACATCGTATATTGTAGACTTCTAGGAAAGTTTGGCCTGGGCCTTGAATTGAGATTCCGTCTGTAGAGGCTATAGTGGTCATTTCCTCGGCTTTCACTGATGATTGGGGTCCTGTCGGATATGTCCTCATCGTCACAGCTGGTACATGTAGTGTGTCGAGGAATTTGTTTAGGGCAGTCGTCGTGGTATATGATTTGCCTCGACGTTGGTTGGGTTTAAGCAAGCGTGCTAAAGAATGGGTTTGCACATGAGAACTATGAAAATATCCTAGGAAATACATTGAAAAATATGAACGATTCTAATTTATCTGATATTCAATTAGGTCAGAGCTGTCGCTCAAGCTTCTATCAGACTCATCACACCTCTTCCCTGTCAACCTTGTGAACCACAACAGAGTCAAGATGGGCCTTAGGATTCGAGCCTGGTAGTTGACTCGGTAAATCAGTATGGGACGACTTAGCCGGCAGAGCGATGTGACCCAATTCAGCGTCTTGATGAGAACTTCCTGACGTCTGTGGCAACGAAGATGATGGATGTCTTCGTCCTTTCTTTTTCCATTGGCGCCTGTAAAATAGGAACGCGCCGACGAAAGCGAGCACTACGCCAGACGTAGCACCGATACCGATTCCAGCCATTGTACCCCTTGAAGTATTGTGTGGCGGGCTATAGGTGCTCCTGGGGCGTATGCTAGTACTCGTGCGGGTTCCATCCGCGGTACTGGTAGCATGCGCTGCTTGGATCGTCGCAAAGTCAAGACCTGCAATCGTTGGCAATGCGGCACTGGGGTTGATAGGCCAGTATGCATTGATCGACGGACAGGAAGGAGTAGGAAGCGTAGGTGGAGGGGGGTATTTGCAGTCACGGCAGACCACCTTTTCAACGAATTGTAGTCGGCCAGGGTTGTTTGCGTGCTAACCTCGAAGAGCCGCGGCGCATGGTGGTTGCAGCTAGTTTCAGAGATGATAACGGGAACCCCTAGGCCTCCTAGCCTTGACGTCAATACATCGTAGTCAGAGGCGCTCATGGACGAGTTGCACCCGAGTTCATTGACTGCATAGAAGTCGATAGCCTCGTCACTCTTGCCTCCGCACACCAAGTATTCTCCCAACGTTTGAATATAGGTATAATCTGAATCTGTGGCATATCCAATCGGTATAGCACGGTACTTCCTAGCAACAGCATACGCTTTCATATCCCGGGCTGCGGCCTTTAGATATGGGGCTAGGTCGATTGTAGGGCCTATGCTATACATTTAGCTCGTGCAAAAACTGTGAGCGGTGGGTTTCATACCTTGACCAGTAATAGTTTGGCTGGAAATAATATTATTTCCAATAAGAAGCCCCAGGAGATTGCTATACCCGGCCATTGAATCAAGAACAGCCGCATATTGTTCGAAAACGTCCATTTGCCATGGTGAGTTGGCCTTGCAGAGATGTTAGTATCCATAAAGAACACACGAACAACCGGAAATGCTTACTATGTTCGAGCTGACATCCGCCCAAGCCCTTTGAGTCGCCATGTTTGCAATTACGTATATTCCATTGTCCTGGAAAATCTGCATGCATTTATCGTGGCCCTGAGTCGCATCTGTATAGTACACCCTGATAGTGTTGGCCCCGAGTGCCTTTAGGATAGGCGCATCGATTGCGCACTGGCTAGCCCTCGAATCTGCCAAAACATCGATTGCAGTCGAACCAGAGGCATCTCCGATGTAATCGACACCTATTTCAGATGTTATCTTGGCTTGGCATCGATAGCACAGTTCAAATGATCTTACCTTTGATCTGAAATCGATGGCCCCTACTCAATAACCCATTCCCCGCGACCGAGATAACAGGCAGTGACATCTCAAGACACGAAGACACAAAGGTGGCAGGAGATGATAAACACGGGGAAAGACTGCGGGGGAAGTGAAAAACAGGGTCCGAGGCTATATCTAGGGCGCCATGGCCCCTACATAGGCTTGCCCAACCCGGTATAGCGCTTACATGTGAAGCGATTTTTTAAGATTGCAATAAGCCCGGTTGATAACGAATCCTACGTTGAGGTCATGGCGTATCTTATGGAAGTCCAACTCTCACGGATATAAACTGTGGAGCTACAGTCCCTTAATTGTAGGATTCATTCATCCATTTTCCGTAATATTGCTCCGCAATATTAATCGTAAGGTCTTAGACGTTATATATACGCCAGCCCCGGACCTGCAAAAACTCGCTCATTCGCTCAGAGCTTTGTCTGCCCTATCCGCACCCTAACAACACTTCGCACCCACGGAACTCCCCATTTACTACTCGTTCGCTTCCATTTTTACTCACATTAAGGATGACACGTTGAAGGGAGGCCACAAACGGCCGCTTTTGACACCATTTTAAGCCGCTCACGTGGCCGGTCTTGGCGTCACGTGCACCAAAGCCCACGACCCGCTGCGGGTTAGCCGTGCCTGGTTCCACGTATCTTCAACTTCCCCTGTACATACATACATACACTCGCGAGATTGAATCCATGTTCCCGTAATGGGGCTCGTCGAACTACCCACTGAGATCCTGTGGATCATCGCATCATGCCTTTGCCGCCAAACGGATATTTACGCCTTCGTCCACACCAATCGTGATCTATACGAAAGACTTATCAAGTTTCTGTATTACTTTCACGCCCGGTATAGACATGGAGCCAGGCTCTGGTTTCTCGCCCAGCGGAACCTCTTTTTATAAGTTCAAAGTTTGCTAGACGGGCTAAATGCTGCCAGCAACCAGCCTCCAGCATCCCGGGCAGTGATAGAAGCAACGGAAAGGAAGCCTACAAGAATGTACGAAAAAGGCACAATGCTAAGAATGTGGGAAGAAGAAGAAGACACGATGCACATAATACGAGAAAATCTGGACCCTATGGCTGTTTCTATCCACCCTTTTTTCCAACAGGGATACAGCATCCTGGGCATTAGGAATATCCAGCACGCTCTAGTGCTGGCAATTAAGGGTGGCTATACCGAAACCGTGACCGTCTTATTAGACTTTGGTGCATAGGCCAACTTCTACAGTGGGGAATCTATATTGGCTACTCACAACTGGTGGCATACTAAGGCGATTGATTACCCGCCCCTCTTTACTGCGGTACAGCACGTGAGGGTGGAACTGGTAAAGTTACTGCTTCAGCGTGGTGCTGATCCAGAGCTGTATGCCCTTCACCGTTATATTGTGCTGTGGAAGATGATGGACGGGAAATTACCCCTACATTGCTCGAATACGGTGTGGGGCCGCAAGCAACAGCGTTGAAGCTAGCTGTACTAAACGAGGATGAGTATATGGTGAGATTTCTTCTTGATGGAGGATTCAATATTTCAAAGTACGGACATACTGGACTCTATGCTGCTAAAATGAAGGGTGACCAGGATATGGTCGACTTGTTAGAGTCTCGGGGTGCAACTTTAGCTGCACTTACTGATGCCGAAAAGGAAAAGTGGGAGACGGCGGACGGGGATGGCACTCTGCCTCTTTTTGATAATGTGTTTATTTCCTTCGAGGACGAGGTCGATCTGGATGAGGGTGAGGATGACGAGTTCCAAAATTATTATGAGTATTGATTAGTACATTTTCTTGTATCACACATTTTGAAATTGGTTCCCTTTATTTTTTTCTCTCTCTTATATTTTTGATTTTACAAATGAATGCACAACTGCACAACTGTACAGTAGATATGTATAGGTATTCACGTCTACAGTACCTAGACTAATGCTGAACGGAGGAGACGCTCTAGCTCTCGAAGCGACTCGGGCTTGGAAGTGACACTAGACATCAGGTAAAGCACGTTACCAAGGACGCGCGAGTGAACATTGAACTGATCACCGCCAACAGCCAGCTTCTGCTGCAGTCCCTTTGCGGCATTGGAGTTGTAGCCTGCGATATATTAGCTTTATCAATGATTCAGGTCTGAAGAACATAACATACCTCCACCAGCTGCATCACGCAGTGAGATACTAAGCACGGTTCCAATGGCAAACACGCTCTCCACGGACTTTGTGGAAGAGAGGTCCTCAAGCAGACCGTGTGACCAGACACTCCACACTTCGGGAGCTGATTCAACAGTAGCAGGCGAACTGCTACGCCAGTCAGTGCGGTATGCATCCCACGATCCATCGGTATCAAGCTTAGCCATGGTCTTCAAGGAGTCAACAGCGACCGTGCATCCAACTGCATGGGCGGTGTAACTGTGGCCATGGAGAAGGGCATCGCTCTTCTCGGGACTCGAGAAAGCATTGAAGATTTCCTCGCTAGCGACAGTCGTGCAGAGTGGTACCAGCCCGCCCGTGAGGAGTTTGGCGTTAACGGCGACGTCGGGGTGCACACCTAAGAAAGAGGCGGATGTCCGCCGACCGAGACGGTACAACCCGGTGAAGACTTCGTCGAAGATGACTGGCAGGCCGGACCATGACGGGGATTGTTTATGTGCGGGAGCGTTGGGGGAAAACAGCTCTGGGTGGTCGCGGACCACATCGGTCAGACATCTCTGGAAGAGAGGATCACTAAGGGAATCGTTAGTTCATGTAAATGAAGGATCGTAGCGGATTCTTACCAGAAAAGCATTCCACCCGCACCTAGGATGACCGGTTCCAGGATCAATGCTCCAAACTTCACTCCTTGGCGCTGGACCAGGTCTTCAATAGTGCGACGGATGTAGTCCTTGTAACGCTGCGCAGTGGCCGATTCAAGACGCTGGCTGAGGTCAAAGACCGATCCAAATGAAGCGAAAGCAACATCCTCGCCGAGTTCTCCCTGCAGCTCACCGGGGATCTCAACTTTCCAAGATCCGCCAACCATCTTGACAAGAGGGAAATCGAACCAGTGGCCACGACCACGATACCACTCAACCTTCTTATTGAATGTCGAAGGCTCCGAGCAGTCCATCACACCGATGGTATCACCGTGGTAGCTACCCTTGAGTCCAAGAATACCAACCTGCTCCTGGGAGGCATCCCAGCCGTACCGGTCGCAGGAAGCGCGTAGACCCATCTTCACAGCAACCTCCATCCCCGTGCTTCCATTGTCCGTGTAGAAGACTTTAGTAAACCGCGGGTTTTCGATGGTTTTCAGTAAATTATCCGCAAGCGTCAGTGCTGGCTCATGGACAGCTCCTGCGAACATGACATGTCCGTACCGACCGGCGGCATAGGCAGCAGATAGTGCTAGCTCGGGGTTACCGTGGCCTAAGCCTTGAGTCCACCAGGACGCGGATCCGTCGAATGTCGGGCGCAATTCACCCTCTGCATCTTTGGATGTTTTGGAGCCAAATGTTTGGAAGTAGTCATCATGCGCTGAGTCGATGACGGTAATGTCCTTGGCCTTCATGCCTTGGTGCTGGGTAAAGGGGTACCATATCAGCTCTTGCGCACGGTCGGCCATCTCTTCGAGACGCTGGACGCGCTCGGTATTGTTGACGGACATTTCTTCAAGCAATCGGAGAACCTCCGACTCCTTTGCGGAGTTTTGGTAATAGCTGAACATGGCCTCCTCGTCCCTTATTTGGGAGTCGGCATCCAGCTGCGACGGTCTGGCTGGAGGCGCTGGTAGCGATACCAAGGGAATGCTCTTCTTCTGGAAGTATTCCCGGAGGTATTCATGATTTTGATAGTACTCATCTCGGAACACGAGAACCGATGAGATATCATAGCCACGGAGGAGCAACGACTCGTAGGCAGAAATCGAAGAAGAGATACCCCCTAGACGAGAGTCTGCCACCAACACGATTGGCATCCGGAGTGGTCGATACAAGTCTGCCTGTGAGTTGCCATTGGGGCCCGGGGAGTGCACGCCCCCGGCCGTCTCAACAAGGGCGAAGTCAATGTCGGACCGCGCCCAGCCGGACAGTGTGTTGTGTATGGATGCGAGAAGGTCATCGTCTCGCGGAACCTGCGCGATGAGCTTTATGTCTTTTAATTAGGACAATCGCACTTACAAATTTATCCTTTGCTGCCAAGTGCGGGCTCACGGGATCATCGAATTGGTAGAGACATTTGGTGAGCGTCCCGGCGCCATAACGCCGCAAGTGCCTGCGACCGTCAGTGACCGGAATTAATTCAATCGAATTGCTTCAAAGTTCGCCTACCGATCATCGGCATCATCTAATGCCCCCGTAGAAACAGGCTTGAGGAATGCGGCGCGCTGTTTCTGGTGTTGAACCGCATTACACAACACCGTGGAGATAATTGTTTTCCCCACGTCCGTGTTAGCGCCGTAGACTTGGTGGGCTCGTAAACTGCGCCAGAGCGCTGCGCCGACCGGAGGCATGACGAGATGAAGTGAAGTGAGTCACGATGAAGTCCAAGAGACCTCGGCGGGTCAACTGCCATTGAGTTTCCGACTCCACGCAAATCCCCACAATTTTGCATTTCACCGGATTGTCCTGTTGGGTTTCTCAACGACTTGGGATCTTGGCTTTGGGAATAGAATCTGTTCTCTTGCCAATCTCAACAATCAACAATATCCGAATCGAAAATCAAGTGGATAACCGTTGACAGGAACAGTACGGGAACAGAGCAGGAACAGGAACAAAGGAATCGACGTGATCATGAAGGCCGATATGACTCCTCCAGGGACATCTAGGACATCCGGGACAGCAGGGAAAACATCGCACAAAACACTCGTTGACTCACTATCCGCCACTTTGTCGCGCCGGGAAGCCAAATCCGCCCGTCGGAGGCTGACCGTTTTACCCCGGACAGCTGTGGATTTCTCCTCCAATGACTTCCTGTCACTGTCAACTTCCTCTGCATACCGAGAACGCTTTCTGGCACTGTTGAACAACACGCCGCCATCATTCCCTCTTGCCAGCGGGGGATCTCGGCTATTAGACGGGAATTCGGCTTACGCGGAAGAGCTCGAGAACTTCCTCGCGACATTCCATCAAGCCCCGACAGCACTTCTATTCAACTCCGGCTACGACGCCAACGTCGGCGTACTATCCAGCATCCCTCAACCAGGCGATGTGATTTTGTACGATGAGTTCATTCATGCCAGTGCCCATGAGGGCATGCGTCTGTCGCGGGCCGGTCCTCGGGAGATGTTTGCCCACAGTTCGCCGGTTGGCTTGAGAGAGGCTCTGCAGTCGCAAATAGATGAAGACCCAGCTATTGCGGAAGGCGCGCGCAATGTCTTCGTGCTCATTGAGTCCATCTACAGCATGGACGGCGATGTTGCGCCCATCAAGGAGTTTATCGCGGTTGTTGATGAGCTGCTACCTCAAGGCAATGGATATTTCTACGTCGATGAAGCGCATGCGACTGGTGTGTTTGGACCGCGGGGTGCGGGCGTGGTTCAGGAACTCGGCGTTCAGGATCGCATGTTCATCCGAGTGCACACATTCGGCAAGGCACTAGCGAGTCATGGAGGTATGTATGATCTGTTTTGATCGCCCGTTGAAATACCGAACTGACCATATCCAGCCGTGGTTCTCTGTGGACCAGAGACAAGGGATTACCTGATCAACTATGCGCGGAGTTTGATCTATACCACCGCTCTGGGATTCCCATTCCTGGCATCGATTCGCGCAGCATATGAGATCCTGGCATCTGGTGAAACCGAATCAGTAAGTTGATCATGTCTCCATACTCCTAATACCCAGCTAACTGGATCACAGTTACAACGCCGGCTTCAGGAGTTGATCGGTCATCTCCGACAACGGCTGGCGGGCCTCCATACATATGAATCAGTCATGTTCGAAGTCGACCATTTCCCCACATCTCCCATTATCTCCCTTCGCACATCGCAGCCACGACAGCTGGCGAGTTTCTGCCAGGAAAACGGATTCATTGTTCGCGCGATCATGCCACCGACGATTCCCGAGGGAAAGGAACGGGTGCGAGTGTGTTTGCATGCAGGAAACACCGAGGCGGAAATCGATGGTTTGACGCGGATGATTCAGTCGTGGCTCGATCAAAGTCACAGAAATGTATCAAAATTATAAAAGTACGAGGTAGTTGGTTTGCATCTAGGGATTGTCTACTAGTAATCTCTATTCAAGCCCATTCATTTAAATTGTTATCTCATAGGTCGTTATCCGGTTACTTGAATGCCTATATGCAAACCAACAAGACGATGTTTCATGTCCTTACAATATCAACTGGCAAACTTCAACCACCCCATCCTGCTGACTATGGCCCATAATCCAAAATCCAGTCCGATCACGTTGTCCTGCTTCGGGTATCAAAATACGCGGCCAGCCCTTAGCCCGACGGTCCGAGGTTGCCACCTGGTCTTGGTACCTATTGCCCAGCCTCGGCACCAGGGATGGATGTCGGCGTTATATGTGGAATGGATCCGGGATTCGGGCCGTGATGCCCACTTATTCTCCATGTCGAATACCTCCGCACCGAGACTATCAGTGCGGAGTATTAGACGAATGGTTGATATTGCCGACCATTACCGAGGGTGTTTGAATGGGATACCGACGCGGAAATCATGCAGAGCTAGTAGATCAAAGTACATCGTTGTGCTAAGGCCTGAAGTAGTTAGTGTAAGGTCACTAATTTCGATCTCCTGGCCGATGAAGAGAGTCCATGGAATATCACTGAGATTTTACTAGGCATTCATTTTGTAACATGCATCTATCTCTATTGATTTAAATCCTCTGCATTTGAAATTACTTGTTCATATCTAGACCATAGATTGCTCCACCTTCATACTAGCCTGGGTATCCGAGCGGTCCATAGTGGTATACCGACTGAAATCTCTCAGATCCCGACGGTCATCACCAGGCGAAACACCATTCGCCACCGCCTTGCGGTCCTGACGACGGAAGTAGACACGCTTGCACCACTTCCAGCTCTCAATACCCAAGAAGAAAAGCACCGTCTCAACAAAAACAATACCCCACTCCCAGGAAATGCTGGTATGCTTGAAAACACTGTGGTTGATAACAGGGATGTAGATGATAGGGAATGCAAGAACGAAACCAGTCATGATGCCGAAGAAGAGGAACTTGTTGCGCCAGATATCATGCATCCACTGGGTATAGCGTTTCTTGGAGTCGGGCTGCATGTGGAAGAAGCTGCGGCGCAGATGCATCATCTCCCAGGCGAGGAAGAGGGCGAACCAGGTCATGCAGGTGAATGTAGTGGCGCGGGCGCGGAAAACTGTGTCGCAGTCGTAGGGTTTATTGGGGTCGTTGTAGTGTGTGTTGCAGCCCTGAGCGAGCTCGCCGTTGCCCCATCGGAACATGACGAGGGAGAATGCGGACAGACAGAGGGCGGCCATCCAGACTCCGTAGACGAGGGTGTCGATGATGATTTCCCAGGTGAAGATGCCTTGTTTCTGTGGTTTGTTAGTCAATTGAATTGTTAGGGAAAGGCTTGGGGGAACTTACGCTTTGCGGTGGTCGGTCCATCACTTCCGGGGCGGCAATCTCCATTCCTAGACCCATATCAGGGAGACCAGAGGTAACCATAATAATCCAGATGATCTCGACGGGGGAGATAGGGAAGACAGACTGGTTGGTTTCATCCTTGAAGGCCAATCCAATAAGAAGGGTCAATGCTAAAGCAACGTTTTCCGCAAGAAGATGCAGAACGAATTTCTGGATATTATCGAAAATGCGACGACCTTCCTCAATACCGTTGATGATAGAAGCAAAGTTATCATCAGACAGCACCAGCTCGGAAGCATCCTTGGCCACATCCGAGCCATTCTGACCCATGGCAATACCGACATCAGCCCGCTTGAGCGAGGGAGAATCATTAACTCCGTCACCAGTCATAGCCACAAAGCGTCCACGACGATGCAGGGCATCAATCATACGGACTTTCGTGTTAGGAGCACAACGAGCAATAACCAATGGAAGAGTGGGAAGTTCATCAATCTCGTCTTCGGTCAATTTGTCAAACTGAGAAGCAGTCATAACCATAGCATCGGCAACGTCCTTCGCGATCATATCCATGTTTGCGGGAATGATGCCGACCTGCGCTGCAATCGCACGCGCAGTACCGGGGTGGTCACCAGTAACCATGTGCACGGAGATTCCAGCCTTGTAGCAGAGGGCGATAGCACCAGCGGTCTCCGGACGAGGGGGATCGTAGAGACCGATCAAACCGTAGAAAGACAAATCCTTCTCGACGTCCTCGCGGGGAAGAGGGCTGTCGCCTTCTTTTGCGGGATTGGTGTTCTCGCGGCCGGCCATAGCGAGCACGCGAAGACCCTCTTTAGCCAAAGCCTCCATGTTCTCCAAGATTTCATCGCGCATTTCATCGTTGATAGGGACGGGCTCCGAGTCAGGCTTCCATTTGATAGTGGTGCATGCCTCGAGCACTCGCTCGACAGCGCCCTTGGTGAAGATCATTTCGCGACTCTTCCCTGAGTTGTCGTCGCGCTTTGTGAAAATAACAGACATTTTCTTCACGGTTGAGTCGAATGGGTACTCGGCTTGTTGGTGCCAGATCGGCTTATCGCCCTTGGTCCAGCGAGACAGGCCCCAGTTAAATCGAGAGGCGAAAACCTGGATGGCAATGTCGGTGGGTTCGCCACGAGCCTGCCATCCCTCGGTGGCACTTTGGTGGAGATGGGCCAGGTTAGCCATGGCAGTAACGTTGAGGAAGTCCTTGAGCGTGTCGTTGTCTTTTAACAAGTCATCTGGCGATGCAACATCGCCCAATTTTTCCTCGCCCAGTTTGACCGGGGGCTCTGCAATCAAGCTCAGCTCACCGTCTTCGGGGTTGAGAGGTTCATTCGAGGCACCGACGGAGTAAGTTCCCAGAGATGGGAGCCAAGCCCTTTTTGCGACCATGCGGCCTTGGGTCAGAGTACCAGTCTTGTCCGAGCAGATGTTGGTAACAGCACCGAGCGCCTCCAAGGAATCCAGCTTCCGGACAATAACATTGCGCTGGACCATCTGCTTCGTTCCGACGGCCATGGTGATTGTCAACACAACCACCAAACACGCCGGAATCATAGCCAGACCAGTCGCGACCGCATAAATGATAACCTCGCTATCACCGCGCCAGTCATTCGACGCAGCAACGACAATCGCAAAAATAACAGCAATGGCAAAGAGCAGAAGCGCCAGCTTGGACAGTTTTCGTTGTAAAGGGGTACCAACATTGGTACCCAAGAACCGGCCAATAGCATCAGTGGTCGTCAATGTCCAAGCCTGGATATACCATCGCTTCTTCGTTTCGCCTTCAGGTCCACGCTTAACAGGGCGACGCTTTGGGTCGGTTCCACGAAGGGCTTGAGCAATAGCTCCAATCTCGGTTCTCATGCCGGTTCCCACGACGACACCGCGAGCACGTCCTCGGGTCACGGTTGACGAGCTGTAGGCTATGTTCAGTCTGTCGCCTGGGCCTGTGTCGACCTCGAAGGTGGCCTCTGCGTCTTTCTGGACTGGGAGGGACTCGCCAGTTAGCAGCGCTTCATCGGTTTCGAAGTTGAATGCTTCAACGAGTCTGCGAAGGGTTAGATTGGGATTATAATATATTCTCTCGGGGGTTGTACATACCTGACATCAGCAGGGACAGTGTCTCCTACTTTCAATTCGACCATGTCACCGGGGACGATCTCATTTGCTGGGACGGTTGCCGTCTTGCCGTCGCGAGAGACTACACCTGTGGGCGAACTGAGCGATCGCAACGAGTCCATGGTCTTCTCAGCGGCGTAATCCTGGTAGACACCGACGACGATGTTCAGCCCGATGACGGCGGCGATAAAACCTCCTTCGATCCAGGACTGGATGCCGAAACTGACAGCCATGGCGATGATGAGGACCTAGAACTTCTTAGCAATCATTTTTTAGTGGATCTTGGCTTCTGACTTACCAGCATCATGGCGTTGGCAATCTGTCGAATGACAATCTTCGCCAAGGAGACGCCTTTGTCTCCTTGAAGCATATTCTCGCCATATTTCTCAAGGCGTTGCTTGACCTCCGCAGTTGTTAGACCATCGTCCGAATTGGTCTGGAGTTCGCTGATGACATCTTCGAAGGTGAGACTATGGGCGGGTTGGGAGAGAGGTTGTTGTGTAATGTCAACATGGCTCTCGGAGCCGGAGCCTTTGTGCGACATTTCGCAATATCGGATGGTAGAGTGCTGTCTCTAGTTGGGTGGGTTGAGTGAATTGAGTGAATTGGTGAAAGATGTACTTCTATGAGGCTCTTAAGGGGGCAACTTATAGAAGGTATCTGTAGGAGAATGAGAGTCCATACACCGGGATTACTTGAGTAATAGGCACACTTCTATGCAACAACCTTCTTTTCTTTTCTCCCGAGGGGGGTTCTCAAAGTATAAATAGGATCAGAATACCACTCGATGGCGAAATGCAATCGGCAATTATGACCGGATGTAATCTGAAGGAAATTGTGTCCGACATCCGGGGAACTAGATTTTATGCTGGCGAATCAGCTTCATTTACCACATCTCTGTATCAAGCGGACGACCTTGGCGCATCATCGATGACGCAAACGGAGTCTGGGCATGTCCGGGTGGGTCCCCACGCGACAATTCTCGGGCGTTTATTTGCGCGGAAATTGCTTGGCATAACCTTGGCTAGACAGGTCGTCGGTTTCTATCTCTCTGGCTTATTTCCCACCTCTGGTCTTCTTGGCTCTTGGCACTTGGAACCTCTTGGCATTTCGGGGCTCGAGGGTTCCTCCGCTTCAAATCCGCCTCTTTCTCCGGAGGAATTCTTCAATTCTTACGTGGCGAAACCCCCATTATCTTTGTTTTTCGCCTCAGATAATGGGCTATCAATTGCTCCTGGAGACACGGTGCCTGAATACATGATTGACCCGAGTGATCCGATCTAGGTTGCACTGTCTTACATTGCGCTATTCCTCCATTCTCATTGGGTCTACTATCGGGCGATACTCCAATTCTTTATTTTTATTTTCTTCTCGTATCTTCTTCGCTTGGACCTAAAACCCATATGACCCTCCACTCATGGCGGACGATTCTATGCCGCGAGAGGAGATACTCGGGGTTGTGATTGGGGCAGTTGCGCTGTTTTCCCTGATCAGCATGATTCCGGTGTAAGTACGGAGGCGCGATAAGTCTTGGCAACCCCCGCGCTTCATGCATGCGAATTGTTCTCGAACTTCCGAAGTGCCGATAACTGATTTGTATGATTTTCCGTCCAGGATGATCATGAGGCATCACCGACGACGCGCCGCCATGCGGGCCATGGCCGCATCCCGAGTTCTCCCACCGGTACAGTTGCAGAACGTGTTAGGCCAACCTGTGTCTGTGGACCGATGGTTGGAAGAACAAAACGTGCCTGCCAATGCGCAGCAATACGGCCAAGATACTTGGTAAGTGCGCTATTCCAGCATTCCACCGGTCTCCGATTCCGGCTGCCCCTCCTCGAGCCTTTTGGCCCCGCGGCTGGATGATGTCGTGTGGGGACACTAGGGCTGGGCACTCGGTCCCTCCGCCCTATCGGGATCCGCGAGTTTTCGTGGAGGCGGATTCATGGTTTCTGGGCAAGGCGTTATTGCGCCCAGGGCCAATTTCCGGCGTTCCTGGATAAACATACGTGGTCTTGGCTAGAGATAGCAGGCCGTGCAAGCGACTCTGGACACATCGACTGAATCTTCTAGAATCAAGCTAACTCGCCCAGCCCCATCTGTCTGTCAGCACTATCTTCGTCCCCATACCTCGCCTGTCCCGATCCAGTCGTGCTGGCTGACGACCAGCATAATCCCAACCCGACTACACGGTCAGACCCCCGCTGCAGCTGCGGGGCACATTCCCCGCCCGATAGCGAGGTCCTCGTACTCAATCGCTGCAAGCATGCCTTCCATCTGGATTGTCTAAAGTCGTGGTTTGAATACCGTCGGTACAAGTGTCCGATCTGCCAAGCTTCGTATTCGCCAGAGGAGGAGGCACGAGGATGATTTCCAGAAATAATTGTTGACCTGCATGCATGATCCTGCGGGGTTGCCCAAGTGCAACTTGCATTTGGTCAGCGATATGCCCTTTGGCTATCGGATCAATACGGCTTCTTTCTTATATTTTTCTCCCTTTTCTTTTACCTCTTTTGTCTTGCTTTGCTTTTGAGATATCCGTCAACGTGACATGACATGTTTGTTCATTTCGTTCTTTGATCTGCATTTATCCATTCGCCATCTGTCCAAATAGGCCGCAGATGATCTTGTTTTATGTATCTATACGCAATCATACTCATCATGATCGTGATGAAATGGGCTATGTATATTGACCGAATGGACACCTTCCTAGTCTGTTTTCACAAAAATGTATACACTAAATCACCATGATTGTACTCTCATCTTCTCATCGTCCGCGATACAATAATCGGGCACCCAAATAGGAAATTTATCTCGGCACTCCGCGTTTCCCGTCTCTACGGAGACAACTTGTAAGATGCTCCCATTTTTTAATTTCCCCCAATGACACAATAATTCCATGTATACCACGGAGTAGCATCGGACTCTCCTATCACACACATCTCATCAAAAACCAATCAAACACCTCCACCATGGGCTTAACTGCCAAAGAAACCAACCTCGTCGAGATCGCCAGAGATACCATCAATGCAATCCCAAGGTCAAGTACCCACAGTGTCTCCAGCGCAGCCCTCTCAATCAGCGGCCAGGTTTTCACCGCCGTGAACGTGTTCCACTTCACGGGCGGACCATGTGCCGAACTGGTAGTCCTCGGTGTAGCCGCCGGAGCCGGGACTCCTCGCCTATCGCACATTGTCGCTGTTGGCGAAGACGGCCACGACGGAATCATCCTCAATCCCTGCGGTCGGTGTCGACAGGTGCTGTACGATTTGCATCCTGGAATTCGGGTTATTGTGCAGAAGGGCGGCAAGGCGGAATCTGTCGCTATTGATGAGTTGCTGCCTTATGCTTATGAGCCTAGGGAGTGAGATACAATTATGTGCATAATGGAGATGCCGAAGTTACCGGTGTGGAATACTACGGAGTGACAGTCGAGCCGATCTAAAAATACATTTCGACGAACTAGGCTCCATAGTTCACTAATAGCCTGAGTCAATCCAATCAGCATATTCGCTTCCTAAAACCGTGTCCTTTGTGACTGCCGCCGATATAGGAGTCTCGTATTCGCGCGCAGAAGTATCAGACCCGGCCCCGGTATTGTTGTACTCATAGTAGAGTGGTGTAGCTCCCTCTGCTAACGTTGTCCAGCCCTTGGCATTGACTATACCACCCAGGTTGGAGTTCTGGTAGATGACGCGAGCAAGGCCTCGCCATGGACGGCCAAGATAGACAGTGCCATCGAGGACAGCACTGGATACAGCCTTTATATTGCAGCGGTCGAGTGCATACCAGGTGGTGTCGGTGGTTGTCTGGCGCGAACTGGCGGTGATGGCGCCAGGGCCGTTGGAGACTATGTCGCAATTGCTGAACCAGGCGGAGGCGGCGCCGAAGATGTAGTCCACGGCTCCTGTAAACTGTTAGTATCTATAGTGAGATAGGGATGTGATAGAAAATGACTTACCCTCGATCCTGCTGTTGGCATAGTACTGTGTTCCCGACTTGGCATACAAGGTATCCTGGTATCCACTGAACTGACACGCATAGAAGCCAAGTTTATCGGCATTGGCGACGAGTCTAGTACAGTCAGTCAATAATCCAATACCAAAGCAAAGCAAAGAAATATACTCACGCAACAGCCTGCGCGCCTTTCCCGAACCCGTTAACCACATTGATATTGTGCATCTTGAACCCATCCGCGACAACGTTCACGGTAGCACTCGCATCCAGTGAGCCAGCCTCGGGCGAAGATATCGTATGCGTAATGATAACAGTGTTCTCCTTATACGTCTCCTCATAGGTCGTCTCGCCATACAAAGTCAGAGCGCCGGCATAGTTTATAGTAAGCTGTTCCTCGTACGTGCCGCTTGTGACATAGATACAAGCTGCCGCTGAGGAAGAGCCGAGGGCAGTAAGTGCAGCGCCGATAGTCGGGTATTTCCCGCTCGATCCGACTGTCAGGCAACCTGCGGGGGCAGTCGTTCTAGCTGTTCGGGTGGCTAGTTTGGCGGGTGCGCCCAGGACCGCCGTGCTGAGGGCTGCGAGGATGAAAGCGTGTAGTTGCATTGGTAAATTGGTGTTTACCGGAGAGAAGGGAATGATTTCAGGTTATGTACTCTACGTCTTTATAGAAGTTGTTTCTCCACCGGAACTTGTATAGTTATGGGACATAATTTTCCGAGATAAAGCAATATTTCCTCATCAAGGGGCGAATATATTCAATTATATCCACAGTCCAATTCCTATTTGTTTCACGGAGTCCCACCCCGTTGCGTAGAAGTGGATATCCAGGGCAGATCGTAGATCGGGGAGAATAACGCGGGAAAGTCACCGGAGGATAACCCATTGGGTAATCAAAGGGAATTTATGGACCCTATATCTGTTTGAAAGTGAATGAATGACATTGACTGAAGAAATTATTCCTCGAATGGCGGGCCTGGGGCTAAAATAGATTGTTTTATTTCTCCGTTGACGAAACATTGAAACTATCCACATGCGAAACACTTAATAGATTAGAGAAGAGAAAAGGAGAAGACAAGTTATGAAAGGTATAAAACTAGAAACTTAGTTATTCCGACCATAGCTGCGATACCATACCTTCAATCACCACGCCATGTCGATAACAAAAGCCCTCGCAGTCTTTGCCCTCCTCGGCTCATCTCTCGCCCTACCAGACAAAGCAAGACGCCACCATGCTCGTGCTTCATCTTGCACACCAGTAGCAGGCGGATCTTCTTCAATCGACGATGTTCCCGCTATCACATCAGCAATCGCCTCGTGCGGCAAGGGAGGCACTATAGTCATCCCCGCTGGCACGACCTACAACCTGAAGAGCACATTGGACTTTGCGGGGTGTGTCGACTGTGACTTCCAGCTAGAAGGCACCTTGAAATTCAGCTCGTCGACATCTACCTGGAAGGGACAGACAGCAATGATCAATATCAAGAACATTGACGGACTTAGATTCCGATCTGTAACAGGCAGCGGAGTCATCGACGGAAATGGGCAAGATGCGTACGCATTCCTTTTCTTCTCTTTTCGCTCATCCCAGTCCACTAATATCACGTATAGATGGGATCTCTTCGCAACAGACAGCACCTACGCACGCCCAACCCTCCTCTACATCACCGGCGGCTCCAACATCGAAGTCTCAAACCTCCGCCAAAAAAACCCACCCAACGTCTTCAACTCCGTCAAGGGAAACACCAAGACGGCGAAATTCCTCAATCTAAAAATGGACGCCACGTCCAAGAGCGACAATGAGCCGAAGAACACAGACGGCTTCGACATCGGCGCCAGCACAGACGTGACCATCAGCAACGTGAACGTGAAGAACGACGACGACTGCGTGGCATTCAAGCCCGGTGCAGACGGCGTCACAGTTACGGATATTACCTGCACCGGAAGCCATGGGCTGTCGGTGGGGTCGCTGGGGAAGAGTGCCGAGGACGTCGTGAAGAATGTGTATGTGTCCGGCGCGACAATGGTTAACTCGACCAAGGCGGCGGGGATTAAGACGTATCCTACTGGTAATGGTCATGCCATGTCGACGGTGAGTAATGTTACTTTCACTGGTGTTGTGGTTGATGGGTGCGACTATGCGATTCAGATCCAGAGTTGTTATGGGGAGGATAGTGATTACTGTGTGCTGAATCCTGGGGATGCGGATTTGACGGGCGTTGTTTTTGAGAAGTTTAGTGGGAAGACGAGTGGGAAGTATAAGGCTGTCACGGGCAATCTTGATTGTGGATCTCTTGGGACTTGTGATGTCAAGGTTAGTGCTTATACTGTTGAGGCGCCATCTGGGGGTAGTGAGGTGTTGTGCGCTAATACCCCGTCGGCTTTGGGGGTGACGTGCACGGCTGGTGCCTCGGGTTGAGAATAAGGAGACATATGTATAGTTAAGTGAAGAAACTGAAAAGAAAGTTCTATACAATTTTGCGGTATATAATATGTGTTCGTCATACATGTGTGATCTCTAGCGCAGTACGCCAGAAACCCCGTTCTAATGCTTATGAGGAGGCAATCATCTTGTCCTTCACGTAGAGGTCGACATACTGGTCGACGTCGTAGTTCTCCAGCTGGGAGCGGTCCCAGCCCAGCTTCAGCAGCTCATCAACACGGGCCTTATCAAAGTGCGCCTCGATGTGACGCTTGTACTTGGCCAGAATCTCGGGCTTGGCCTCCTCGCGGCGGAGACGGTGGCCCAGAGGAGCCTCGACGACAACCTCCTCGAGGACAGTGCCGTCGTTCAAGGTGACAGTCAGCGCATTGGGGATGGTGCGCTTGGTGGGATCGTGGTAGTCGGTGGTGAACTTGGGGTCCTCCACGCAGCGGATCTTCTTGCGGAGAGACTCCAGCAGAGGGGAGGTGGCAGCCTCGGAGCCGTCAGCGTAGTCGCTAGCGGTCAGGCGGCCGAAGACGAGCATGGTGGCAACCATGTACTGCACACAGTGGTCGCGGTCGGCGAAGTTGTCCATCTCCTTGAACTGCTTGTCGATAATGCGAATGCATGCCTCGTGTGTGCGGTTGGTGATCTCCTTGATGTCCTTGGCGCTCTTGCCCATGGACGCAAGCTTGGCATTGACCTTTTCAGCGGCCTCAATGGCAGTCTGGGAGTGGAACTCGGCTTACAGGAGTTAGCTGTCGTCAATTCTGTATAGTCATTTCTTCAAATTTGAACTTACCAGGGTAGGAAACCTTGAACAAAACGTTCTCCATGACGTAACTGCCGTAGGGGCGCTGGAACTGGAACTTCTTGCCCTTGAACAGGACATCGTAGAAGCCCCAGGTAGGAGCAGTGAGAACAGTGCGGAGACCACCCTCACCCCTCTGGACCTTGAGAACCAGGTTGACAGCGCGCTGACAGGCGTCACCGGCAGCCCATGACTTACGCGACATGGTGTTGGGCGAGTGGCGGTAGGTTCGGAGAGACTGGCCGTCAACCCAAGCCTGGGTAATAGCATCGGCGGTCTGCTTCTCGGTAAGACCCAACATCTTGGAGACGACAGCGGCGGTCGCAACCTTGACGAGAACAACGTGGTCGAGGCCGACCTTGTTGAAGGAGTTCTCCAGAGCCAGGACACCCTGGATCTCGTGGGCCTTGATCATGGCCTCCAAAACATCATGGATCTTCAGGATCTTGCCGTTGCCGAGGTTTCCGCCGGCGCGGTTGGTGCGGGAGACCCAATCGGCCACAGCCAGGATACCACCGAGGTTGTCCGAGGGGTGACCCCACTCAGCAGCGAGCCAGCAGTCATTGTAGTCGAGCCAGCGGATCATAGCACCGATGTTGAAAGCGCCATTGACGGGGTCCAGCTGGTAAGGAGTGCCCAGCACACGGGTACCATTGGGGACAACAGTGCCCTCCACAACGGGGCCAAGGAGCTTCGTGCACTCCTTGAACTTCAGAGCCTCCAATCCACAGCCAAGGGTGTCTAGGAACACCAGACGGGCAGTGTCAAACTGTAAAATTTAGAATTAGTCGGTGCTTAATCTAACCGGGCCGGGCAAACTTACTGCCAAGTCGGAATCCACCTTATAGTCGTGGATGTAACTGGCCATGTCCTGAATTTCAGTGTCATAGGACTTGTCGGTGTGCACCGCCGGGGCGGCAGATTGACGAGCAGCCATTGTAGAGAAACGGGGAGTGCGAGGCACCGAGATACGCGGAGAGATGGAGAGGGAAGAAGTCAAAGTGGGAAATCTGGAGATGCGGGCCAAAGTGCGGGGAGACGTGTGGGTCAGGCGTCTCACTGCGGGCAAGGACATAGTGAAGAAGGGTTTGGAATAGGATTGTTGATCAACAATTGACACAATTGGAGAGACTAAGAGGGGGAGATGGTCAGTTATTTAAAACAAATCATGGACGAAAGGAGAAATGTTGGGGAAAAAAGGGAGAGAAAGGCCGGGGATGTGTTCCAAGCTGACTTCATACTGCCGAGGGTCGGTTACAGTCGGGTATTACATCTCTCTACCCTTTGTACAGGCCTTTGTATGCCTTCTTATTCTTTGTTTATGGGGTTGACTACCTTGTCTACAGACGGTAGACTGATAATTGCACTATTACTTTCTCAATAGGCCGAGTTGATTGCTATGTTACCGTCGGTTGAGCTTCCTGGCCAAAATCCGAGGATCGGACATAAAAGGACAGCAACAGACCAGGATGCAAGATGTAGCGAACATCGGAATATACGGTCCGAATGTGCAAGGAAAGGACAAGTCAAAGGAGCAAAAATGTTGTTCGAAGGAGCTCACCCCGAGCTCATCTGGGCCGCTGCCCTCGGCTGATCTGCGAGCTCACGTGCAGATCATCACCCCAGGGGGCTTTCCCCAATCCCCAATCCCCAATTCCCCACCTTTTCTCTTTTCCTCCTTTCTGTCGTCACCATCACTCTAGGATATCAGTGGAATATTCCCATGGCCTCTTCTGTATCAGTCTTATACAGAGACTTGACGATTTCTCCATAGATAGCTTTGGCAAAGAGCGGGGGCACGGCATTCCCAATCTGCTTGCGCATGAATCTCCCAGCAAACTGGAAGTCCAGGGGAAATGTCTGCAACAGGGCCATCTCACGACTGGTATAGGGCCGGGTACCCGAGGGGTGGTAGTTGTATTCGCCACCTCCGCAAGTAATTGTCCTGGCTAGAGAATGGCGATCAAAAGACGGTCGGTGGCTCAAAGCCCAACGCACCAGTGCCGCTTCAACGTTGTGGTCGTCGGCATCGGGAGGAATGTTGTCAATCGTGGACGAAATGGTCTCACGAGGACGTAAACCGTGACCAGGCATGCCGTGAGTGGGTTGCGCATAATGTGGTAGAGCTTCACCGGGTCTATGAACACGTTGTTAGATATAAATTGGAATATGAAAAGCATCGTCTTTCACTCCACTTACCCCGCAGCAATGAGAAGCAGTCTCTTGCGCTCCTGAGGCACTCCATATTCATCACAGCCCAGCACCGACCAGCGAACGGAATATCCAAATTCAACCATGTCCAGGACAACTCGATTGAAGATAACGGGGAATCGTTGCGGTAACCCCATGGTTTCCTCCATGGTCAACACCCGGGGACGGGACTCCCGAATCAGACTTCCAGCCGAAAATACGCACGCCGAGTTGGCGTCATCGCGAGGACAGGGCACAGTATGAGCAGGAGACCAGGTTTGACACGGAGGTGAGCAATGTGCAATATCCACTCGCAGGAATTTCGGATCGTTGGTAAGAAAACTGAAAAAGTCGGAATGCTCGACCTCTACATCGTCAAAATTCAGCTGATAGGTTTCTAGTGCATGCTTATCGATATCCACGGCCCATTGGAGCTTGACGCCGGCTTGCTTAGCCCCGCAAGACACACCACCAGCACCGCAGTATGCGTCACCAAAGGTGTATGCACGATCAGGGACGGTCAAATCAATCACGCCCTGTCGTTCGAGATCCCTGGCCATGGAAGACACCCTAGCCTCGCCGAAAGGCACAGTGTGGCCTCTCCATTCCGCACGCAGCTGGTTCGCGCGCTTTCCAAGTCCTAGGTCTGATTCGACAAAGGTCAACCATTCAATGGCACACTGCTCTGCACTTAAAGGTGCATTACCAGGAATAATGACAACTCCGTTCTGGCGAATGGTGAGCTTCAGTCGACAAATCAGTTCATCTCCCGGTGTGAGGTTATTGAAGTCAGTCCGATAGTTGGTGAAGCGGATGGACACAACCCGCCTAACTTTCTTGATGCTGATAAGGTCGGTCTTCTGAGTGAGCCAGACCAATTCATTGTTAAGTTTTGGCAAATATGTCTTGGCTTCGGGGTGCGTGGTGCGGTAAAGATGCCGTCCGAAAAAAAGCAGATCATGCGGCTGAGGAATCATGTCCTCGACACGCAGGAAGGAGCCGTCATCAAGCTCCAGAGATATTCCGGGTTTGAACACAACACCCCCAATGTCTATTTCTTGCTGCACTGTCTGCGGTATTGGGCTGCAGCTGGCGGACTGGTTGCTGATGAGAGATGAGTTGCCAGAGGAAGACCGGTCACTCGCTGAGTCGTCGCCGGCGTCAATGACGGAGGCAGCCCCAACGTGTGTTATTCCAGAGGTCAATTCCTCAATGTCTTGATTAGTCTCATCATCGCAGGTGAGGTCGATGACGATCTGCAGTCTCTCGGTGGGCTGGAAGGTGTGGCTGGCCTCCTGCATGGGTGGAGTGGTATAGACCGCCGACGGATCTAACATGATGATACCTTCATCGGGCATTGTCCGCTCATGACTGACTGCTCGAAACTCTGCAGTGCTCACAGGGACTGGGTCTCCAAAGGGAGACACTGAAATACGGGATCGATCATTGATATCAGCCATCGGTGTGATGGTTGACTGATGAAAATGTTCCATATTCGGCTCGGATGATGCTAAATCCGGGATCTAAATGAAGGCGAAGAAGATGAAGTTCGATTCAAACCGATGAATGATCTTAGAGATCTTCTTGAAGGTCTTTTTCCGGTATGGTCTCACGTTCGGATGAGTTGGCCTTCAGAAACACTTCTATTTCTATAGCCGGTTCAGACTAACCCGCGCAAGTGAGCACAATTTGGATTCAAGAGATGGCAGGTTTGCCAGACCTTCTATACATAACAGGTCCAACTGAAGCAACACGGATTCGTCTTTGTATTTTTATTTGGTCTACAAAGCAGAGATGATATCTAGCTCTGTGCCACATGAAAGACTGGCATAAAGCCATGGTATTCATTTTATCTCATTGAAGGTCCGCATAGATGCTCCAATCTGGTTTGTATACTCATCTATGTTTGTATGTCAATATCAACTCTATAGACGCTTAGCCCGTTCCGGATAGTAGGGCATGCCCGGGGAATGCCCGGGCACGTGCCCATAGGCCACTGCTTACTCATATCCCCCCGAAGTCGGCCCGGACGACCACGGGAGGGAAGAGAAAATTTCTGTGGGCACCGAAGAACCACAACCGCAATGGAATATTTTCCTCCCTCTTTCTCTCTCTTCTTGGGGTGGTGTTCATTTTCAGTGGTCACCATTCTCTGATCTTCACTCCTTCTTTTACGTGATCTGGTTTAGGTAAGTCGCATGATTTCATTGTTTTCAGCTACTTTATGCAAAGCTGCCCCTCTGTCTCTTGTGATGAATTATGGTATTTTATAGATGTTAGACTTCCTAAACAATTGTTGCGGATAAACACCTGGACTGATTTGAGACACTTCAATCTTGCTATACTGTGAATGCGATGTGAACACTGGTACTAAGTGTCTTCGTCCATTGCAGAAAACCTACTCTTCGTCAGGATGTGTGGTATCATTGCGCTGATCCAGGCGAACCCCTCGTCTGCGGCCGCCGTGGATCTCCACGAGGCACTTTACCTTCTCCAACGTGAGTTCCGGCCAGAATATATATACCTGCGACCGCGAGACTAAAGGTTCTGGTATCACAGATCGTGGTCAGGATGCAGCCGGTATTGCGACATGCGCATCCGGCGGCCGGATCTACCAACTTAAGGCCAACGGCATGGCTGCCAAGGTCTTCCAGGAAGGTGCTAAGGTTTCCAACCTCCCCGGTTCCATGGGAATTGGCCACCTGCGCTATCCGACCGCGGGATCTAGTGCCAACGCCGAGGCCCAGCCGTTCTACGTGAACAGCCCCTACGGTATCTGCTTTGCGCACAACGGTAACCTCATCAATGCCGGGGACCTCCGGAAGCACCTTGACCTTGAAGCCCACCGTCACATCAACACCGACAGTGACAGCGAGCTGATGCTCAACGTCTTCGCCGATGAGCTCAGCGAGACCAAGAAGGCCCGTGTCAACCACGAGGACGTCTTCGCCAGCTTGAGTCGCATGTACAAGCGTTGCGAGGGTGGATGGGCCTGCACTGCTATGCTTGCTGGTAAGTTATGAATCATTCGTGGTGTCCTCTCGTCCATAGCGCTAACTCGCGAGTAGGCTTTGGTATCTTGGGTTTCCGTGACTCCTACGGTATACGCCCCCTCATTCTGGGCTCTCGTCAGTCCGCGGATGGGCCCGGCATGGACTACATGATGGCCTCTGAATCAGTAGCCCTGGATCAACTAGGTTTCTCCGACCACCGTGACATTAAGCCTGGTGAGGCGGTCATCATCGCCAAGGGTGGTGAGCCGGTCTTCCGCCAGGTGGCCCCCCAGAAGGCCTATGCCCCGGATATTTTCGAGTATGTCTACTTCGCTCGCCCCGACTCCGTCATGGATGGTATCAGTGTGTACCGTAGCCGGCAACGCATGGGTGACCGTCTCGGTGCACGGATCCTCGAAGTCTTGGGTCCCGACGTTGTCAAGGACATTGACGTGGTCATTCCCATTCCTGAAACGGCGACTACGTCCGCGACCAACGTCGCCCAATATCTTAACAAGCCTTACTGCCAGGGTTTCGTCAAGAACCGTTATGTCTTCCGCACTTTTATCATGCCGGAGCAGAAGACACGGCAACGTGGTGTCCGCCGCAAGCTCAATGCCATGAAGGCTGAGTTCAAGGGCCGCAACGTCCTGCTGGTTGATGACAGTATTGTGCGTGGTACTACTAGTCGCGAAATTGTCAACATGGCCCGGGAAGCCGGCGCCAAGAAGGTCTACCTTGCCAGCTGCGCGCCGGAGATCACACATGCTCACATCTACGGTATTGATCTGGCCTCTCCTCAGGAGTTGGTTGCGCACAATCGGGACTCCGCGGCTATCGCCAAGCACATTGGCGCGGAAGCGGTTGTCTTCCAAACTCTGCCTGATCTGAAGGATGCCTGTGCTTCGGTTGCCCGTGAGAATGGTCAGGAGGAGCCCACAAACTTCGAGGTCGGTGTCTTCAGTGGTAGCTACATTACCCCTGTTTCATCCGGTTACTTCGAACATCTGGAGGCCGTCCGTGGCGAAGGCCGCAAGGTCAAGGCTGTTGACAAGGCCAAGGAGGCTGTCACCAATGGCTGTGCCAACATGACCGACTTCCAGATTGCCGCGCATGGAGTCACTATGGACACCAATGGCAAGATCATCCCTGCCATTGACAATGAGTCGTCGGCAATTGGTGCCGGCACGCAGACCAGCAACTCCGAAGACCAACAGAACCCTAAGGTCTCGGACCGCATGGACATCAGCATCCACAACCAGGCTGACCATGAGGCATGAGGCATTATTACGAGACATCTGATTTCCATTTTTTTTTTTAATTTTTTTTTCTCTACCGTTCTGGTAACTTGCATTGGGTATCTGGGCGTTTATTTGAGGGAGCATATTTGCTGAGTGGCTGATTTGCTACTGTATGATATGGAAATGATGCTCAAAGCATTGAAAATACCAAGACCCGATGTCTTGAGATACACTTGTCAATAACTCTTGATGAAACAAAAATAAATGCAATATTCAATGTTGTTGAAATGCTGTTCTTTCGTCGTTGGCTGTCCCGAAGAGGCAGGTCACGTGCCTGTCATTGGCCAGTAGCATTCCCTCCGCATCATCGACAGACCCACGATGCGCTCATCGGCATGAATTAAGCTTAGCCCTCTGTTCGGTTGAAATGAATTGATACATCTTGTTATATCGGTTCTCGTATACGTTGCTTCCCTTGCAATATTGAACGAAATTGACGCTCCTTCTCTATATAATGGAACGCCGCATTACTCGTTCTGCAGCCCGGGCAGCCTCTGCATGGAGTGCGGGAGAAAACAGCCCGTCTGTCACTCAACCACCAAACACTACTAAAGGGAACAAACGAAAGCATCGAACCCCCAATAATCTGAATACACCCAAAATTAAAACAGTCAATGAGGTGAAATCTTCCAATGATTCCGATCCTGCAGTTAAACAAGAAAAAGTGTTGCCTCCTCCTTTGTTCGATGAGCTCCCTCATAACCTAGGGTCTATGCCGGCCCCTTTGTCTGTAGCAACACAGCCCACAGACTCAATTACTGGATCTGACAAGGAAAATCAAACTTTAGACGGCAGCCAAATTGGCAATCCGGCTACTGAGCTCCAAGACACTGTGAACAAAGCTACAACCAAGTTGAAGAAAGAACCCAAGATTCAAACTACCCAAAGCGGCCGCAAGCCAAAGAAGAATACTTATGGCTTGACGCCTGGTATCTCTCCTTTCCCCGAATTTGTTCGCCCAAATGCCGAGGAGTGCGAAGATGTCAATCGGCTGTTGTCTAGCATCCATGGCGTAGTCACTGCTCCGGCAACTATTCCTGAGCCATCCCTGACAGTCACCGGGTGTGGTGAGGTCCCATCCGTTCTGGACGCTTTAATCCGAACTCTTCTCAGCGGCGCTACTACAGGTAACAATGCCGCCAAGGCCTTTGGTGGGCTTGTGCAACGATTTGGCATTCTTTCAGAAGGCATCGGCAAGGGAAGCGTGAATTGGGATGCCGTACGGCAGGCCACAGTGAAAGACGTGTTTGAAGCGATCAAAAGTGGCGGCTTGGCCGACATCAAAAGCAAGAACCTCAAGGCGATTCTTGACATAGTCCACGAAGACAACCAGGCGCGTCGAGCTACATTGTTAGATTCCGAGTCCAAGAACGACTCAATGTCCAACCTGGCACCTGAAAAGGCTGAAAAGGACAAGCAATACGAGATTGCCTGCGCAGATCAAAACTTCCTCTCCCTCAACCACCTCCACAATCTCACCAGTGAAGAAGCCATGACCGATCTGATCAAGTACCCCGGAATCGGACCCAAGACAGCCGCTTGCGTGATCCTGTTCTGCCTCCAACGGCCCTGTTTCGCCGTCGACACGCACATCTTCCGACTCTGTCGTTGGCTCGGATGGATCCCCGCCCGTGCAAACGAAGTAACCGCCTTCAGCCACCTGGAAGTGCGCATCCCCGACCATTTGAAGTACTCGCTCCACCAGCTGTTCATCCGGCATGGGAAGATCTGCCCCCGGTGCCGAGCTGCTACCGGCCAGTCCAGTGCTGGCTGGGAGGACGGCTGTGTCATTGATCACCTTTTAACTCGCGACGGCAAGCGCAAGAGCAATGGTCCGACTGTGGTTTCTAAAAAGAAGGCTCCTGCTACGAGCGCGGCTGGTAAGCGCAAGAGAATGAGCAAGGACTCCGAGGAGGAGACTGAGGAAAGCCTGAGTTCGCTTTCCGACGGAACGAGTGACGAGTGAATGCATTATGACAACGAAATTATGTGAAGTGAAGGTGGAATCTTTACGAGGATTGATCGTATCAATCTATGACGACGAATGGCTTAAGCCGAATATATGATTATATATTTACCATATCGCTATTGGTCTCAATACAAGTGTGTTATTATTGCTAAACACCATAAATTAAGTCTGATATTTCCTAGATGATCGCTGGTCTA